AGGGCCTAGATACTTTTTAAGTCATATATCATGCATAGGAACGTTGACGCCTGCAAGGCTCTGGTTATTTCATACCGATACCACAGACTCTATATACACCACAGAGGTATTACAGAGACCATGGCGACACCATGCTAACTCTCCTACTGTACTGTAGGTTTTGGCCTGTCAAGCTTAAATTGGTCAGGGCTAAATTTGGTGGTCGGAGAGGTTTTGGGCATCGAAATTAGTCTGCTTTGGCAATAACTAGCCCAACAAGAATTGCATTACTGTATGTACAGTAGGCTAAGACTGATCTAGGCCTAACCACCCGCCAATGCCTTATTAAATATATTAAACATATCTAAACATTTTCAACTCAGTTAAAGAGTTTTGTGCTACCATAATATGGAATAACATTGTTTTATAGGTGGGCCACTTATGGCCCAGTGGCAGTGCCAGGGGATAGCAGGAGCTTAAGCCCCCATTGGACAGGACAAGATCCCCCACTGGACAGAGCTTGTCGGGCAGTCAGACCAAAAAAAAATAGGCCTAATGAAATGAAATGCGTGTTTATTGAGTAACAATTGTTGTATCATCTTTACATTTAAAAGTTTCATTTAAAAGTATTTTTCAAGTCTGAAAGTGTCGTTTTTAGCCATCCAGAGGTCCTCCTCCCAAATCTTCCCGCGGCTCAGTCACAAGGCCCTTGGATGACGATGCACACTAAATTTATCCTTAATATGTGTTCCCCCTCCCCCCTCACACAAACATTTGAAATTTTTTTTCTTATTCAATGGCTAATTTCCCACTGAAAGTGGGACCAAAATCAGGCAGAACAGTTATTTTTGATTGAGGAGAAAATTGTCTCCTTGATAATCGCTACAACTTGCCCAGTAATAAATCATGCGAAAGCATCTATTATATGGCTATTAAATGTTTAGGTTTTAGCATGCGTACATTCCAAGTCATTCTTCTAAAATTTCCCACAACATTCTTTACAGCCTGTGGAGACTTTAAAGTAAAAATGGGTTTTACCCAAACTTGTATGGGGCACATAGGCCATAACGTTGCTGAAAACACACTTGATTAAACTCCAAGTAAATGTATGCAAATTTCAAAACGGTACATGTATTAAACACTCTAAAATATAAATGTATATACTCCAATAAATGAATTTATAGAAATTCAAAATTTATTTAAATAAACAATATCTAAAACCTTCAATACAGGATTGTAACAAACTATGAAATTGCAAACCTTAATACAGTAGTGATATGAAATTATTTTATCAATATAGAACCATGTTTGTTACCATGGTGACCTTTATTGGGTCATCTTGGTAGATTATATAATAATTCTGTAAAGATTTGTGGAGAGAAGAACTAAATTGTGAGTGAAGTTAACCAGCAGGTGTGGATAATCATGGGAGGTATAAAAATATATAATCTATCAGCATACATAATCTGTTAAACGAGCCTAATCATGTATTTTGCCTGTCGAGTGTCGAAAGATGTTAGATTTTAAGATATGTAAATTTATGTTTGCATATTCAATGAATGGCATTAGTGAAGACCTTTTATACAAGATCAATTATAGAGGGAGACAAACATATTTTCATTGGTATCAATTTACAAAAGCAGATAGTGATCCACTTGGAGTAGACAAAAGATAGATTATAAATAGAGTATAAATATAACTAAGTAGTTGTTGTGGTATATAACTATTTCCTGATATCACACGAAGAAATATTGGAAAACGGTGAAGACACAATCAAAACAAAACTTTGGTAGACAAACCAAATTTATTTACTTAACAGACAATATCATACTTGTGAAATTAAATTCTGCAATATATGTTATAAGAAATTGTAATAAAAGTGCCAAAATTGCTATCTGGTATTTGTGGTTATCCTTTTCATCCCCACTGGGTTGTAAGGCACTTTTAACGAGGCTCTGACAAAGGGAAGGAGAGACTAAAAATAGATGTACGCCAACAACCTCTTCACTTTCACACATACGTAACACTGTTATTCTATTTATGGTATTTATATTTTACCAACCATGCTACAATTGATATCTATATATAGGAATGGTTAGTGCATTGATATTTCAATTTTACAACCAGTCATTGATTAATCAAATTGTATTTTTTCTCCTTTTCAGCAGGCTGAAGAAGAAACAAAGGTAATTGTTAAACTGTTGGTTTTCTAACAAATTTCTCTATGTTGATGATGTCTCTGTGGAGATGTCAGTGATGGTGATGTCTGTACTGTAGGTGATGTTGCTGGGGTAGTTGATGTCTTTATCGGTGTTAATGTCTTTACTGGTGTTGATGTCTTTACTGGTATTGATGTCTTTACTGATGGTCATGATGTACAATAACTATGGTGACAATAATGTATCTCTCTAAGGTGGGGATGATATAACTGTAGTGATTATGATTAGGATTATGATTATTATGATTATGATGGATCTATGATGGTGTTACTATTTGGATCTGGATGGATCTGTGATGATTGGTTGTTTTATGTACATATTTGATGTTTTTGAAATAAAGATACCAAAATATAATTTTGAGGATGATTATCACTATGGTGATTTCTTCACAATATTCTCAAAAATTTAATGTCATTCTTTACAGAGTCCAAAGAAAAATAAGAATGCTGAGGTGACTTCAGAAGAAGATGAAGAGGAAGAGGAAGAAGAGGAACAGTAAACGCAAACAGATTTAAGAACGCAAAGATAAGGAGCAGAGTTGTGCGAAATATCAAAAGACTCAAATAGCCTTGGAACTTTCACTGAAATTTGACATATCCCTGATATTTTAACTGCTGCAAATACGATTAATTATTTTGTGTAAAGGCCTATTTTTAGCGATTTTTTGGGATTCCTACTGGACAACAAATATACCCTACTGGACTGATTGCAATTTAACATTGGTCATTTTCATTATTTGCTATTGCATTTTAAATTTTAATAACCCGAGTTTCAAAATACTGTTATAATTATCTTTAACATTCTGGAAAGAAAAAGGCAAAATGTGAAGAGAATTATTGAAAAACAAAATTATAGAATCTGATTGGTTTTGGACAATCAGTTCAAAATGACAAAAATATTCAGAATTTAGATTTTTAAACCAAAGAATTGATGTACAGTGACTACATCATGTCATATTGCAATGTAACGTTGAAATGAACAAGCAGTAGGGCCTAGTGATCGTAAATAATGTTGCATTCTGAAATTGTAGATGGTTTGTTACATAGACCATGTTTTTACATTAGTAGATTGTTAATTAGCTTCTTTTTTTTTGTGTTATGCAAAATAGTTTTGCTTTTCAAATGTTTTTAGTAGTGTAAGATGGCTTTTAGAGTTTTTGCATGTTCTTGACAATTTGTACAATGGGTGTTTAGGAAGGTACATGCAGTAGGATTATAATAGTAAATGTATTTAGGAAACTTTAGAATGTTATAAGTACAGTATTACTGTGTGTATCTTTTGTTGCTATTTTTACAAAACATCACATTAACAAATATCAACAGTTCTGTATAATTTGTTTAATTAATTGTCTGGCAGGTAAAGGGCATCAAATTTTAGCCAACAACTTATGTTTAGTTGTTTTTTACCGGGTTTCCATGGAATGATTGTCTTGTAATTAGTTTTGTATGAATTACACATCTTGACCAGTAAAAGCTAAAATGCTTATATGTTCAGTCACAGAGCAATACTAAAATAAATTGAGTCACAACTAATACTAATATTAGAGCTAGTCATTGTATATTACTTGTATATTTATAAATAGAACACCCAAACATAATGTACAGTGCTACTACTTCAAAGTCTATATTCTGAATTCAGATAATGGCAAACTGTATACTATCAAATCAATTATTATTGATATTCTGAAATATATAACCATGGTGATTATCCCTATGATAATCATTTCTCAGTGGTGATTATTTCTATGGTGTTGGTATTTTAATGACATTTACCATGAAAACAGTTGCCATGAGGAGAGTTGATCCTCACTATGATTATATATCTACAATATTACAGTATTTTCTTAGATATAAATAAAAGTAGGAGCTGTATGGTAGAAATACAAAACCTTGTGTACACAAACCGATTTATTTGAAACCTAACTTTTTGCTAGTTCCAGCTTGATTCTTCAACATCAACATTTCAACTTTACGATTTTTATTATCTGTTACAGCTGTTGAATTATTCAAAAGGATGTGTTGACAAGGATATTATTACTAAGTGGTTTATCGAGCAGACTTTAAAGCCCAGCACTGTATCTTTAGAATTGTACAAAATAAAATTTACCAGGTTGTCTGATCATTGGCACTGGTAAGCATGATATTTTGATTGGCACCAGTTGTGCTTGGCACCGGTAAATGTAACAGCCAGTAATATATGGTCATGTTATTGCATAAGGATTGTAACACAGAAAGATGTAGTGTTTTGCATACAAAATTAATTATGCTAATTCCTAGCTTATTGCTTTAAAATGCTGCATTTTCTACCTCAAACCTGCACGTAGAGAATGAACAAGCACGCCCTCTCAGTTTAATCAAGTACATAGGTCAAATCCGATTAGGTGCTGTGTGTTGATTTAACTAATTTATATTTGTGTACTTTCTTTATTATTGTCATTTTACATTACCAACATTATCATTGCTGTTCTTATCTCTAATTATAAAATGCTTAATAGACTCATCCAAGATCTGTTCTTTACATTTGCTTGTAGTGTTGCAATTACTGTATTAACTGAACAAAATTGCAGAACTGCTATCCTGATAGAAGACATTAGTTACAGATGGGTGATTTGGACTTGTCGTTATTATTGCCAGAAGTTTAATACTAGGCAAGTTCCTGAGATAAATATAACGCAAGCATCAAGGGTAAAGTTATGCATGCCATTAGTAGGCTTCGAGTATTGCCTATACTTTAGCAACCAATGCTTATTCACTGATGGTTTTTCTGATCTGATATTTGAATTTATATAGTAACAGCAAGTAGTTGCCTCTACAAAGCAGTTAAAATGTTATCCACCGAAATAAGAATCATTTTTTTTAAAGATTTAAAGACAATTTGCACTGATATTAATAATGGTGCTGGCTTCCCCAGGTTTTTTTTTTAGACTTTGTATAACTTAGTAGTACCGTAGTCATAAACAATATTATTGTACTTCGATTTAAAAGTTTTTTTAAACTTTTGATGGTGTATGAGAGAATTACTCCTTGTGACGTGTTTGTATTCAATAAAGACATGCGACTTGAAGTTCTTGGTTTCCATATGTTTCTGTTTCCAAGCAGTTCGCTTTGCAATTTGAGGCCCATCCCCTTTCTAATTCTGAGACTGCCTCAAAGTTTTAGACTCTCTCTAATTTGTATGCCCTATTGGGACGCTTATAATTTGAGATCCACTATCCATCTGCGAACACAAAGCTAACCTTCCAGTTGGAGACCACCCCACATTTTTGGTCCCAAACGTTTTTTAGATTTGGACGACGAACTGTGTATCTGAGTACTACAGTACTATTTGTCTAATTAAAACCAAATACTGTAGTATAAAACTGTACAAGTTCATACAGCTACACCGTAACTGCTCTGGAAATTTCATATCATTAAGAGGAGTATAATTAATTATCTCTCCCTGATTAATGATGTATATAACAATAATGGGACAAGAATAATATAATTCACACATCACACCAACATAACAACTTGGTTAATTCATCCAGTTCAACCGAACAAAATTCCATTTCTAGCAATTACAATGTTTCATTCACTTGCATTAGTAATACAATATATATATATATATTAAAACCACTATAATTCCTGTCTCTTATACACATCTAGATGTGTATAAGAGACAGATATATATCTGTGTCAAAAATCGTCCCAAAAAAATCGTGAGCTGTTATCCTTTATGTTTTCTAAAAAATTGGCCAATTTTTCACCTAGTTTTTTTCCAGCCGATTTTTACCATATGGTACCTAGGGATCATGAAAATACCGATTATGTTTGATTTAACCGGTTCAAAGTTTTAATTTTCCCAGATTCGGACTCATGGGCCTGTCACGCCCAAATTGGTCCAGGCCAAAAAATGTACAGGCGGACAGATTTTAGCCGCCAAAATCTGTCCACCGGACTACTAAAATCGGTCCTCCGGATTGATTATCAATTATTATAATTGAGTATCATCTGATTTAACATTATTTAAGCTTATCAGGATTCAAGTGATATTTTTCAACCTGCAGGCAGAGTATTGTTGTGATCCGTAGGTCCCAATAGAACACAAAACAAGTGTAAATGACGGGATCAAAAAATCCCCCCCAAAAAATCGTGAGCTTTAAAACTTGTATTCATTATTACATCACGTGTATGTTTTGATTTCCATTAGTAGTCGTTTCCTTAAAAAAAAAAGAAAAAAATCGATTCATATCCTACAATCAACACCATCAACATCATCACCACCACCACCAATATCATTATTATTATCATCATCACCACCACGTGATCATCATCATCATTAATCAACACCACCATTATCATTATCATCATCACTGCCATCAACATCATCATCCCCACCACTACCATCGTCATCATTACCATCATCATCATCATCATCAACAACAATCATCAACATCGTCGATATCATTACCACCACTATCATCATCATCATCATCATCATCGGCATCATCACCAATCATCATCATAATCATCATCAATGTCATCATAACTACTACCACCATCATCATAATCATCACCAGTGCCATCATAACCACCACCACCATCATTATCATCATCATCACCGTCCTAATCATCATAATAAAGGTATGGCGCTTTAAAAAATAATAATAAATTGTTTTAATACCTCACCAGGTGGCGTTTTAAATATAAACACTACTGTATGTGGAGCTGAAAGACGACGAATGAGACTTTACAATTAAGGCTAATAACAAATGTGAGTACATTATTGAACATTTTACATCTTTAATTCAATAGTTAAAATGGAATTTTGTCATCATACTATGGTTATTATTTTGACTAAGTTTGTTAGGCATCGAAGGCATTGACAATTTCCTCGAAAGAGGCATGCATTGACATGGTATAGTTCTATTCACAACACACATTCCAAGTGACTCGCTAAAACCACTATAATTCCTGAAACTGCTAAAGAAACGTTATTTACAGCTGGGCTTGTTTACTTCCGTTCGTTGATTACATTGTAGATTCGTATCTGTTTTTTGTTTTAAATTGACATTATGAAATTTATTACCAAGAATCTTGTCATTATCTGGTGCAGAAATCGGAGGTGGCGCCAGCGTGGAGGGGGGGGGGGGGGGCGGGGGCCGGGAGAGCTGCCCTTTCCCCCGTCGGGGAGAAAAATAATTAAATGTATTTTCTACATATTATTAGACTATAAAATCGATTTAATAAGGCTTTGAAAGAAACCCCTAAATTGTCAAAATTTTCGGAGGCTTCGCCCCAGGACCACTTTCGAAGCCTTTTAATCGAAGCTCGACCACGCCTACTCTGCTTTCGTCTTGGAAATCTGACCCCTCGTCGGGGCATCGGTCCCCACGTCGGGACCCCGCCCCCCCCCCCCCCCGGCCCCCCCCCCCGCAAATCCTGGCGCCACCCCTGGGCACAAATTTTAATCAGAATAATCGAAATTAGTTATACCCCGACAAAAATATTTTCCATATTATTTTTTAAAGGACAACGAAAGTAATCGAGGTAGGCCCAAATTACACGTCTATCAATTGATATTAATATCGTCATGGATATGTACCTCCATGATGTCGATATAAAATAGGCCTATAGCTACCAGTGGCGGATCCAGGAATTCAAAATAGAAGGGGACCCGTAGGGATTTCACAAATGGATTTATGACACTCTATACATCCCTGCTCTAGATGGCCGGAAATAATTTATATTTGAATACAATTCTCATTTTTTTCTTAAATTTTTTATAATTTTGAATAATTTACGGGGACCGAGTGCACACCACCACCCCCTTGAATCTGCCACTGGCTGAAGCTGTCAAATTGTATTTAATCGAAAATAGAGAGCAGTTGACCATCTAATATTATTAGTAATAATAATAATATTGAAAATTTATAAATTAAAAAAAAAAAAAAAAAAAAAAAAATTAATATGAAAAAAGAAAATTAAGGAAACCATAAAGAAAATATTATTAAATGAACCACACATGGGTGAGCCGTGAAGTATCTTTCCATGAACCCACCCCATGGATTTTATTCCAGGATCCTGACCAAGTGGCCCCGAGGTAACCCCTTGTTTCAGACCCCGGTCCGTGTTATTGGATCCCTGTCGGCATTTTTTTTACATTTTTTCCTGATTTACCGACATTTTACTACAAAAATCCTCAAATTGGAACTACTCCCAGCCAATTTTTAAAAGTTAAAATTGTCTATGTATATAAAAAGAATATAGCAAAGATATCTGACAGGATATCTAATACAGATATTTAATTGAAAGTTAATAACTTACTTAACTTACTATAAATACGAGTCATGGAATTTTTTTTTTCATCTTTCAGCTCATGAAAGTATACCTTTAAATTTGGCCACATTTGAAATGGGCTGGACTATGGCCTAATGGTATTGCTGACAGGAAAGATATTGTCATTGTCATACACAGATATTTAATTGTAAGTTAATAACTTGTTTAGATATGCATATTCAATTTGAATTACTTTTTTTTTCATCTTTCAGCTCATGAAAGTATACCTTTAAATTTGGCCCAATTGGAAATGGGCTGGACTCTGGTCTAATAGGCATTCCTGATGCTCATTAATTTTTACTTTTCTTGTTCACAATTTTTATTTTGCTTGTGCATGTTGAACAATTGCAATCAGTCAGTCAATAAATATTATATCATAACAAATGTTTGTATGAAGCTATAATTATAGTATTATTTTTATATCAAATATGCTGTATGAATTTATATACTGTATTAATTTCTATCGAATACAGTATATAAATTCATACAGTATATATATATATATATATATATATATATATATATATATATATTTAAATGTTGCACCATTGGAAATGGGCTGGACTCTGGTCTAATGGGCGTTCCTAATGCTCATTAATTTTGACTTTTATTATTCAAAAATTGTTATTTTGCTTGTGCATGTTGAACATCAAATAAATTCAATCAGTCAGCCAATAAATATTATATCATGAAAAATGCTTGTATGAATATAGTTATAGTATTATGTTCATATTAAATATAGGCCTACTGTATGAATTTATATACTGTATTCAATTCTATCGAATGGTACACTTTTATACATTTTATTTACACATGACAATCGAATGCTAAAATAATTTGTTTACACTATTGCAATTTACTAGGCCTACCCAATACTGTGTACTATTATTTATTAATTCTCATTTATTCTGTGGTATGATGAGAATATATGATAATGCTGATATGAAGAAGTGTTAAGTACTATTCTGTTGTATCATCAGCATTGTCCATATATTGCTGAATACAATAATGTTCAAGTTGAGGGACTCACTATGTTTTTTTTATTTATATATTATGTTTTTGCTACTTCGTTATAATTCTTTTTCTGTTTCTAAATATTTTCTCCATATTTTTCTATTACAGTGAGGTAGACAAAGAATCCACAATTATCAGGAAAGAATGTCCAGACTCAATGGTGAAAAGGCAACAGAACTTACCAACTATTTATATATAGCCAAAAATGCTGTTAATAATCAAACTTTCTGCAAAAATTATGGATATGAAATTAATTATTTTAAAGTATTTCCTCTGCAAAAATCTCATAAATAATAATATAATTCTTGTATACTTTATGTTTATTAATATTGTAATTGTATTATTACTACGAATGTTAATATTAATAATAAACAAAAGAACCATAGCATTATTGTTGCAAAAGAATATAGACGTATGTAAGATAATAAGATATATAATTTTGTTGACTCAAATCAGGTCTATTATTTTTTTATATATATAAAATAAAATGTATACATATATCCGAACTTTATTTCAATGCTTGTAAATAAATATAAAAATGAAATTAAGCATTTCTTCTCATCTTTTCAATGTCTATGTTCACTTTATATCCTTACAGCATAAGCTTACGCCAAAAGTGAAGAATTTCTTCATCAATATTACCTACTTTGTCTATTAAGCTAGGAATGAAATCCTTTCGAGGACGCCTTCAACAAAATACATAAAACCGGAAATGACGTGGTTGCTAAGCAACAAACTCATGCATAATCATGAATATTCAGTAACACCTGTTCTAATTAGACTAACAATAAAATCTTTTTGGTCGATTTTGTCAAAACTGAGCTAAAAGTTTTTATTGTTAGTCTAATGAGCACAGGTGTTACTGAATATTCATGAGCTGTTGCCTAGCAACCGACGTCACTTCCTGTTTTGTAAAATTATACAGTCCTTTCAATGACGCCCTCAACAAAATACATAAAACCGGAAATGACGTGGTTGCTAAGCAACAAACTCATGCATAATCATGAATATTCAGTAACACCTGTTCTAATTAGACTAACAATAAAATCTTTTTGGTCGATTTTGTCAAAACTGAGCTAAAAGTTTTTATTGTTAGTCTAATGAGCACAGGTGTTACTGAATATGTATGAGCGTAGCCTAGCAACCGACGTCATTTCCTGTTTTGTAAAATTTGGCGGCACCTTGCTCTGAACGTTTTTGTAATTTGTTTGTATCGGGAATATTTGGAAATATTAGTGTTTATTATAAAATATAGTAGTAGCCCATAATACTGGTATATTTAATTCGGATCATATACTGATTATTATAAGTGAAATATATATTTTTAATTCAATTATGACAAAGAAAGTACAGACAATGGTGTATTTTAAATTACACATTTTTTATTTCTTACATAATACGTAATGTTACATCCGAACTACATAAACGTAGTATAAATAAAACACAAGATTGTAGTTTTATATAACATAATATTATGCTTAGGCCTAATTATATTTAAGTATATAATATCGTTTGAGGAGTACTTGTTCGTTGTAAAAGAAACATAACTTGCAAATTTAATTAAATACCGATGATCCAGTGGTATAAAACCTGATAAATATCCGCGCGCGATTATTTGCAGAAGACCACATAAATCTGGCTAATTATATTACATTGTGTTCCGGTGACAATGATTGTACATTGATCTCGCACTTCTTGATGAATCGGTAGACTTGACCTGTGAACCTGAGATACTGAAATAAAAGAGATTAAACTAGTGAGAAATACATTCAAAATATATATTTTTTTAATGAAATTCATACTTTCATGAGGTATAACATTATTCAGAAAATAGAATTGATTTAATACATTATGTAAAGTGTACATGTTAATAAAACGTTATTTTAATAATGATTTGGGTGCGTTCTGTCCACACCGTCCCCAACCCCATCCCCTAATCGAAAAGGTCCACATTTTTAAGAAGTCAATGACAGCATCAATAATGCAATAGCCCACTTGACAATGGCGAACAAATTTGGGGAAAAAACATTCACCGCTCAATTTGATTTCATTTAAAACTTTCTTTTTGCTTCTTGTGTATACCATTTTTTTTTAAATAATAATTTCTTTACGTACGTATATAGTACAATTTTTAATTTAAGATTAGTGGATGTTTTTAACAGCATTATTTTATTGCCCTATATGGTGAAGGGAATGGAAAAATTAAAAAAAAATTTATAATATATTATGAAAACAAAATTGAGATTATTAACTACAGTATGGCTATAAGATAACACTCCTACATCACAATTGGATGAACAAAATTAAATATTTCTCCACTTACCAGCACACTGTATTCTTATGTTGCTATCCACTCTCTCAATTTTACTACTCATCATGAAGCTGAACACCACTGCTTCTTAACATCCTGGCCGACTGTACCAACATGCTGCTCAGCAAAAAAATAACAGAACAAAATCAAACCTATACTGTAGGCCTAATGGCATTCCTTTATTCGCCTCTTAATAATAGCCACATTTATGAACATAACTCATACAAATACATTGGTTTGTATTGCCAGTACAGTAATTTTAAAATATAAAGACATATACTGTAACAGGATGATTGCATAATAGTAAGTCTGTTATTGATAATTTTAATAATAATGGGGACAATTATGGAGAATGATTGCTTTATTTTATTAATTTTGTTTCAGATGTATAAAAGTAAAGGAATAGGTAGGAGAATAAGCCAACTATCCCCGAAAAGGGGGGGGGGGGCGGCTGGTTCCCAGGTCGCGCCACCCCTTTTTTCTTACTATTGAAATTGCATTACGATGTTTGGAACTTTGTATAAAACTTTACCATTATCCTAATTTGTAAGGCTGTTGTATTTATCGCATATAGCTTAGTATTCTTATTCTCTAAATTTATTTTATAGTAGAGTTTTGTGAGTTGCTGAATTTTTAACATTGTTCAAACTCGCAACTGAATTTTGTCTGCTTTTGCATCAGCAAATAAGTTAATGATAAAAGTTAACATTGTTGTCTGCTTCATCACGCTCAATACTAAGTAGTGGCAAAGCAGATAGTCTCGCTTGTCCCATCGTGGCTCTGAGATATGACAGGATGAGCTTTAGTCGTGTAGTCATTACAGAATAGGATAAAAAAAAAAAGAGAAAACGGTCGAAATGGACAGAAAAGAAATCAGGCCCTGATAAAAAAAAGAAATGACTTCAAAATCATAGTATAAGCCTTCTCCCTCAGAGAGTGGGCTAAACATGTACCGGTACTGAGTACAAAATGTGTTAATTTTTGTAATAAAAAATAATAAAAAATATAAAATCTTAACATTTTAACCAATACTTTATTGGAACCCATGTAACGTCCTATAATACAAAATCTATGGCCCTCTTCCCATTCAACAATTGGTCCATTTGGTATGATTATAACGTCTTATGTTCCTATCTGAGCATTGTTATTATAGAATACTTAAGTGCAGGAAATATGTTTATGTATATATATATAGATGTGTATAAGAGACAGATTATGACAAAGAAAGTACAGGATAAATCTAATTATTTTCTATATAGGCCTCTATATATATATAACTATAACTTATATATCTATAACTTTTCAACAAGAAATTCCTTATCAGCTGTTTGAGGAAATTCAACGTGCAACTTCATGAAAGCCTGTAAAACTATCTGATTTATTCCAACTAGGCCTAGGTTACCTTATCATATACTTACATACCGAAGCTATTATATCTCAGAGAGAACTCCCAAAAGTTGCAATGGAAATTATAGTAATATACATGATAATTAAGATGTATGAGTAACAATACAGTTCTTAAATGTAGGTACATGTATTTATGATGTATATATATTTGAGGACTGTTTCTATCAGTTACCTATTTGTATATATAATATGTATGTATGTTTAAATAAATTGTAAATGGTAAAGAGGAATTTGCGAGTGGATTGCGCCAACCGAGATTTAAACCATGGATCTTCCGCTGCCTATGCAGACACCTTAACCAACTGGGCCATTTATGCTTTTTGTCGGAAGTTTGAATCAGATTGGAGGCGATTGATTCCACACTCTATGGTGTGCTGATACAAGACTAGTATTCAACGAACACACACGGAAGTGCGATCACTCTGATATGCCCTCTTTTCATTTCATTTCTTTAGGCACGAGGGCCAAGGATATGCCAATAAGTGAACTTAATCACAGTCCTACGTGTGGCATATCCATTTAACAACAGGGGACTTAATGGACCAGTACACTGGGGTAAGCCCCTACTCTTCTCGAATGATGTACCGGGTTCTTTAAAGTGCACACGAGCCAAATGCGTACACTGGGCCTAAGGTTTAAAGTCCTTATCCGAGAAGACTTGTTCCACCACCGGAACCATAGGCTGAAGGTCACGGTGCCCCTGACTTAACCGCTCGGCCAATCAACTCTTTATCATCTTGAATGACAAGACAGGATCCCCTAAGAGATACTTTGCAATTAACCAACTGGACTACTGAGGCTTCTTTTTGGAAGTTTAAATTTGATATAAAAACATCTCTGAAGACTTGTCCAGACTATCAAATTTTATTAAAAAAAAAAAAAATGTGACATGCCTAAATATGGTCATGATGACATCATATCATGACCATATATAGGCACATCATGACCATATATAGGCACATCATGACTATATATGGGCATACAACAGTTTTTTGTCAAAGAAAGTTTGATAGTCTTGAATGGGCTTTAGCAGAGCTCCTACTCCCTCTTGTTAGCATGTAAATATGTGTGTATATATATGTTATGGTATACATTCGTTTTTGGAATGACAGCTTATATTTTTGCCCCATCATGCTGCTGGTTTATATACCCACACAAAATATACATTACTTTTTGTTCTTTTCCAGATTATACATTGTTTATTCAAATTATAATGTCATAATTGTTGATTAAATACTGTTAAATCCTTAAGAATCAAGAAACAATGGACAACCACAGAATTTTTTTCTCCATAATCTAACAATTATACAGAAATTGACTTCTATCCTGTTAACATGTAACCCTTGCATACATTAATACATCAACCAGATACAGTACAGTACATATTAAATCACATACGGATATTCTGCATTACTCATTGTATATACTTTGTACATGCTTTATTAAGGCCTGTCCAGACTATCAAATTATATTTGACAAAACATGTGACATGCCTTAATATCCGGGCGGATCCAGAGATGTCCAAAAGGGGACAAATGTCCTTGAAAGGATATTTTTGTTTTCTAGATGCCTGGGATATACCGTCTGAGGTGTTTTGAGCGATCAATAAATTCATTTTCTTTCTTTCTCTTTTTTTTTTACTTTCTAAAAGAGGGTGGGAAGGGAGGGGGGAGCAGGGCTGCTCACCATCCCAACCCTATATCTGCCCCTGAATATTGTCATGATGACATCACACCATGGCTAAATATAGGCACATCATGACTATATATGGGCATACAACAGTTTTTTGTCAAAATATGTTAATTAGTTGAGTAAAATCCCGGATGCCAGTAATTCTAAGTACACATTACAGTAGTCACAAGCAATATACCTTATACAAAATGCACATTATTGCATACATAGATTGTAGCAGATACATAATATGAATGTATAGATTATAATGAATGTAAACAAGATTAAAGAATAGCAATAAATAATATAAAAATATATGAGTAAACGTATAATAGAATATAGAAATTATGCACTGTAAATGGTTTAAAGTTTCTAGCTATTTTAATTCAATCAAACACACAGTAAAATTCATGAAAAGAAAAGACATAATCAATGTTCAGGGAACTGTAAAAGTCTGTCCAACTATCAAATCTAATGTGCAAATTATGTGTGATGTGCCCATATATGGGCATGATGATGTCATATTACACCCAAATATGGACATATTACATTTACTGGTCACATAAAATTTGATTGTGTGGACAGAGTTTAAGGTCACTAACTCTGCAAAACCTTACAAACTTCAATTAAAACATTTAAAAGCTCATTCAGAGCATCAGAAGTTCTGCTGATTTACAGACAAAACCCTCACATTGATCAGCAGTCAATCTAATGACCTGGAAAATACAAAGGTATGGTAGTATTTGTATAATTACTGAAAGCTACTTAGATATTAAATCTTTTGTTTCAAATTCATGGTTATATATTCCAATAAAGATGTGTCATTCCCAGAATGATTTGCACCAGACCCTACACTTGATATTACTGAATAACTCAAAAAACAGCATCTCAAATATCAAGATGAACAAACTTAGTCATTTTCATGGAATGTGGCTCTTTTATATTACAAAAATAAATAAATCAATATAACAAGTGATAATTAAGAAAACTAATTTCCTATAAATATGAAATAATATTGTTTAATGATAAAAATGAATATATATATATAATTTAATTTGGAATGCATATATTATGTAAAACTTAAATTTTGCAGTTTATACAGTATACACATAAATAAAAATGAACAGAACTGGAACTTTAAACACAGTTACGACTTCCAAGATAACAATAAAGACTACATTTCCACAACGGTTGTAGCTATTCAGTGTAATTTTACCTCCGAGAGATACTTTTACAGACTGAATGTTTTCAAAGCGTGTTCACCGCTTTTCATATGTCTAGCAATTGCAGACAGCAAATCCAAAGTGTGTCATTTTTTTCAATTCTTGAGTCTCAAGACTACCATAAGGCTATAGAAATTCACATCAGTCAATTCATTAATAAAGCTCAGATTCATAGTCTTAAAATTGAAAACTTCTGATCCACATGCAAAGTGTTTATCAACACAAGTTGTCTAGCAACAACTGCTCAGCCAGCAACATTTAAGTTGCTCACATGAAGTATAACCCTCATTTTGTTTGCTCATTCAGTGTAGGAATAGAAGGCATCATTGCTCAGGCAGAAAAACAGGCATTTTGCTCAGGCAGTGTAGGAGGCTTCTTTGCTCAGACAATGTGTGAGATGTCTCCAACAATTAAGAAATGTCTTTGCTTAGATAGTGAATGATTTGGAGACATCATTGCTTAGAGAGTTTAAAAGGCCTCTCTGCTCAGACAATTTATGGTATCTTTGCTCATACAGCACATGACACACCTTTGCTCAAACAATGCCCTGTAGATGCTCAGATAATCCAGGAGTCATACTTGTTCAGAGTGTGTACAAGGCACCTTTCTCAAACGGAGTCAGAGGCATCTGATGCTAGTCGTAACTTTGGAACTTCTCGTACAATAGTTGCCTGACAAAGATAAAGATTGATCATTTAGTTCAATAATATAAATTACAAATATAACTTTTAATTAAAAATATTTACTAATATAGAATTATTTATCAAAACTTTGTTTAATTGTTGTGTAGCAGTAGTAGCAATTTAGTAGTGGTAGTAGCAGCAGCACTTATCTATTACTTCTTTTCCTTGCGGTTACAAAACATTCTATTATTCTCTAATCACTAATAAAGATTCCTATAAGCAAAGCTCAACAACTACAAAACATAGTAGAAGTACCATAGAGTGTATTTGTTGTAGTAAAGTAATAAACAAATCAATCAATAATTTTTCTTATACATTGGCGTCGGAGAGCCACTAGAGAGTGATTTGGTTCACTTTTGTCTGTCTCTACTATTTTGTGTTTGTTTTAATGTTCCTTGGACTAAATAAAAGAAATGAAACATTTTTTTAATATGGTTACGCAAAACATCATTATATATTTATCTTTTATTTATATTGCGCCTTTTCTTTCGAAAATAAAGTACCTTTTTCTCCTGGTCAATGTACAAAATTAATTATGCATAATGTGCAACCGTTCCTCCACTCCCTTGGGAATATTCCTAGTTTTTTTCTGTCATCAGCGCTTCCAATTTAAATTTTATTCTATCATATAATAAGCCTTCAGATTATTTAATTAGGATATCTTTAATATATAATTTTCACACTTGTTTTCTAAAATGTATACGATGCTTGCTTGCCGTATCTATTGAACATACCATGTACCACATGTTATATTATTTATGTTGAGTTGCAAAATTGTTTTGCCTTTATTGGCTCTATAAATCATCCTATAGCAAGTATCCTAGAGCTTGACATGAAAACGTACAGTATGTGTTGTATTAAAACGCATCAGACACGATACTAATTATTTTGCAACATAAATTTAAATGTAAGGTGATGTTAAAGTGTGAACATACTTTTGATATATAACAGTGATATGTTTTGAATTTGTAAAGGCATTATTTTCAATCTTTTTCAATTATTGTCATTAAATGTGATAAAAAACTCACATAAAAATATCTTGTATTCATACATCTTTCTCATAAAATACTAAGTATATAATGTCTGCATTTGTTTCATGAGAGAATACACATAAGGCGCCATATTTATGCAAAAATTATATTTATTAACAGCAGTCCCATACCCAGATCTCCAGGCTACAGTTTCCTGTAAAAACAGACAAAAACCAAATTGATATCTATACCAATGATGGCTCATCTTGTTATTTAAACTATCAAGCTGACATTCTGACTATTATTGAGAGGTCATAAACTGCCACCTGATGCCATTGAAGACAAATGGGGATGACTTCTGCTGTAATTGATACAGGAGTACGATATTGATATTGACATCCACTATCACTAGCAGAGATACATGAAGCCTACACCAGGTGAGGCTGACTTCTGCTACCATTGATAGTAGGTGAGGCTGACTTATGCTACCTTTGATACCGGGTGAGGTGGACTTCTGCTGCCATCAAAAGCAAGGCTGACTTTTAGTAGCATTGATAGGCGAGGGTGACTTTAGCGATCATTAGGTGAGGCTGACTTTCAGTGGCGTATCTAGTAGTCTTGAAATGGAGGATGATGGGAGCGCGGAGGTGAAGTGGGGGCTCGATGATCAGTTGAGGGGTGCTAACTCGCAAAATAAGGTGATTTTAGGTGATTAACTACTTGCAAGTGATTTTTTTTGGGGGGGGGGGGGGCACGAGCAATTGGGGAGCGAATTATTTTTGGACGGGCGTGTATAAATTTTTATTTATTTATTATCATTTTTACATCTCCCTGCTTTAAGTATCATTGATAACAGGTGGGGCTGACTACTGCTACATTGAAGATGGTGAAGCTGACTTCTGCTGCCATTGAAAGTGAGGCTGACTTTAAGTAGCATTGATACTGGGTGAGGCTGACTTCTGCTACCATTGATAGCAGGTGAGACTCAGTTCTGTTACCACTGAAGACAAATCCATAGAGAATTCATAAAACTGACTACTGAATATAGTACTGTAGATGATAAATTCAGACATTAAATGTAATGAATGCCTGTCATGATATATCCAATACCAATGTTAAGGGTTCAAAATTCAAATGTAAAATTCATGTAATAATGTCCATATAATTTATTGAGCTTTAGTTGTAATATATTTATACTGTTATGGTGATTTAAATCACTTTTATTAATCGTTCAAAGTTACTAGTTTTTTTTGGTAATATATATGCTATTGTATAGTTCAATGAATACAAATATGAATGACAAAATACATAATTTTAATAAAAGTTTTTTTTTCTTCAATCAGACATAAACAGTACTTCTTGTGTTAAATTCTGACAAATCTTATATTGAGTCTTTGAAATGCTCATTAAAATAACTCGGTTTTCACTGATTTATAAACAATTTAATATGAAAATCCATAAATTGATTATCAGCCAATTTAAAGATGAACTATCAGTCAAAAATATAGAATTATACCCCAAAAATTCAAATACAATTTTGAATAGCTCATTTGAAAAGATCAAATAAACTATTAGCTTCCAACAAAAACAGATTGAAAAAAAAGTAGTTTTCACCAATTTACAGACATTTTACTTCAAAAATCATTACACTGATTACCATACCAGTCAATTTAATGATCTATACAAAAGAGTACAGAAAAGTTATTATTAAACTGTCTGAAAATTGATGGGGAAATTTTGATTTTTTTTTCAAATGTTTTAATTTGAAGTTAATAACTTGCTTAAATATACACAATTCGAATATGGAATTAAATTTTTCAATTTTTTTACCTCATGACTGTCTACAGAATATAGAGAAAAAAGGAATAAGGAATAGCTAGAAAAATGCAGACGAATATTATTTTGTCTAATTTTCAAATCAAACCTTATTATTCAATACAGACTACAATTTTTTTTTTATTTTTTAAAGATTTCTATGTACCACAAACAATATATATTTGGAATGTGTTTAATTATATTCTTCTAGCCCAATATGCTAATAAACAAGAACAATGAGTAGAAAAATACTAATAAATTTCACTCCCTGATTAAAAATGTTGATGTTTCTTAATGTAGAGAATTATGCAAACCACAGTATTCAAATGATGCGTTCCATCTACATGCTGTTTTTATCATTATCCACTCAAACATTGATTATGCAAGAAACAACAAGGGCTTATGATATCCAGATGTGAAAATGAACTAGAGACACGTCTTGGTTGAAAAGCAAAATGAAATACTGTGAAGTTCAAAGGGTAATAGACATGCAAATGCTACTCAAACCTTCTGTGTATACATGAAGCAATTTACGTTGTATAAGAATTAAATTTAGAGACAAGATACAGAAGTTAAATAAATGGTGATTACGCAGATATGTGGCTACAAGTTAGTGATATTGGAGACACTGTAAAGTGATGCTTCATTGATAGAACATTGATTATGATGACATAGACACTGAGCAGAAAACTAACAAAATAATTAAAGATGATAATAATGATCAATGTTCATGATGACAATGATAGAGATGATGATGAAGATGATATAATGGTGATGATGATAATAACAATGACAATGTTCATGCAGGGAACTGTGTAATTTCACTATTCTCTGGTTCATGACAATGCACCATTAATAATCATATGATGACAGGGGCATTGAAAACGAGGACAATGGAAAGCCAATGACAATGATGAAGATGATTATGATAAAATGGATGTCCTTATTAATGATGTTTATCATAATGATGTTGATAATGGGAAGAATGATGATGAATTATGATGTTGTTGAATGAATAACAATACAATAAATGACAGTAATGATAGCATTAAAGAATGCTTCTTACTCGTGCTGTGCTATCCCCTGTCTGTTGACCATCTTTGTTCCTGTGTTCCGTTAAAAGCTCCGTCTCCCAATCCTCACCTTCTCCGGGTTCAAAACTATAGACTGGCACGAGATGATGTCGCAGTTTACTCAACCTAATTAACATAAACAAATTATCATAGAAATGTTTCTTTCAACTGTTTATTTTAAATGCTGTATCTCAATGAAAGCCTGTGTTTGAGTGGCACCACTTGGGAGTACAACAATGATGTTTCTTGAAGATCTCCAGAGCCACCAAAATATATGACCACGGACAGAGCCTCGAGAAGCATCCCGAACCACGGAGGATTGGGTGGTTCTCGCAAGTGCACTTCCAAGATCGAAACGGCTTCGCTGCCCGGACGCTTGCCGCACAGCCCTTCCTCAAGGTCCGGAGCACTAGGCCCCGGACCGGGAGCACTAGGCCCCGGACCGGGAGCACTAGGCCCCGGACCAGGAGCACTAGGCCCCGGACCGGGAGCACTAGGCCCCGGACCGGGATTCAAATTCACTGTTCCTGTGCTTCAGTTCTCCATGAAAATCTGGTAATAAAATCAAAGATCTATAACAAAAAACTAAGATATAATTCATGATGCACATATGAATGTGGAATGGTACATGGATATAATAAAATGTTATAAGAATACTGTATATATTAATTACTATGATGCAATGGTACCAAAGGAATATTTTGGGTTCACGTTTGCAGGACAATTAACATATGATCACAACAATACCGAGTCTTTGCAATATAATGATGCTGATGAAAACACTATAAGCACAAGGGTTGTAATGGTGATAATAATAAAAAAATAATAATATAATTTATAGTAAAATAACAACAACAATTATAACAATAATAAAAGGTAATAAAATAATAATAATCACACAACAACAGCAACAGAAACAATGACAAGGATGATGACGACAATGATGAGGAAAATGAGGATGATGATGATAATACCAAAAATACTGATTTAAAATTAATAATGATATGTTAAGCTGAGTGTTTGATCAATTGGTAATGTTTCGGCATCTTGTGCCTGGTTCAAGACCCAGTCGAGATTTGAATTTGGGCCAGATCGATCCTTAAATAACCCTCATATAAGGAATGCTCAGAATAAAAAAAAAATTTTCTTTCAGTTGTGTCAGTGGTGGCCATGAGGCTTCTGCAAATCATTAGGGGCCAGACAAAATTTCCATTTTTAATTTGAAATAGGCCAAGAAAGAAAATGATCAAAGTAAGTACTGTAGCTTTGAAATTTGGGATTGTAGTTCAAAGGTTAATTTCTTATCTAGTGGAATCTTTCTGGTGGTGAACTGGGCAGTAGATTGGAAAGCAATCCTCTGCTCCTTGCCAAAGAGTGTACTGCATTCCCTAGCGCACATGGGCCACGTTGCACATGATACCAATGGCTTAAATGTCTAAAAAAAAAAAAATTGCCACTTGCATTCCAGCCCCTGAGGGCTCACTCTTAAATATTTCTATACGGGGAGATGCCGCATTTACAGGGTATTTTTTTGAGGACTTGGTAGCATAAGTATGGCAAATATGGGGCGAGTTGCAGCATTTATGGGGTACACTTGCGAGGACTTTGTAGCACAAGTGTGGGAATTAACTGGGGTGAAATTAGTAGTTAAAGTCCCTTGCCTATCCTGTGTCAAAGTGACACAATTTTCCGCACGATGTTAGCGGGAATTTCAAGCTCGACTGGGTGCTAAGCAAATAAGCCCCTTGCTAAGCCTACCTTTGGTACAGCCCTGAGATCGCAACCAGACGGAACACTTTTTGCCACCGGCGACCAGTAAATATTGTGCCCTCTCTGGCACTATTGAGTGTTCTTTTTCCTGTTGTCTTTTAGAGCACAGTGCATTGGCACTGGATGTTGGAATTTTCAGTAAAATAGGTAGCGCAAGTGTCTCATGTTTTGAAGTGGCTGTGGCACCCCCCTGTTTGGTTAGTATTCGAGTGAGCTCCCTGGGATTCCAGCCCTCAGAAACACAAGGAAATTAGCCAGGGTATTGATTCAGGGAACAAAATTAATTATAAAGGTTAGCCACGGTTCAGCATACACACGTTGGCTACCACCAGTTTAACCGACTGGGTATAAAAAATACAGTTATTAATAACAATTGCATTACAAAAAAAAATTAAATTAATAAATACAGTTTACAAATAATAAAAATAATATTAATAATAATTAAAGACTTAATAAAAATAATGAAAATTAATTAATAAAAACATGATTGGAATCATGCTACACTAATACAATTAACTATGGTTAAAAAATAATTTGATTTACAATTACATTAATTCAATTTATGATACAATTTTGAGTTTTTTATGCCAATATATGTTAATGGTTCTACATTTCATGGAATTAAAACTTCAAATGACCTCTAAAAAAATCATATCTTGTGAAAATCATTGTAAACAGGATCTCATAACGTTGTCCGATGCAATTAGCAGTCAAACAGACGTCATTACCAATGTTGCTAAATGCAAACAACGCTTGCCGACACAAGATCTACAGACCCTCATTCATGCTCCCTTATATATTTTATAGCATTAGCAGTTAGCGTCGGCTCTCCTGAGTAATCCATATTGTGTTCAACCATGCATATGAAAACCAGTATCACAACTAGCACCGAAACGTTAATTTATCACCACATAGTAAACAGCGCATTTACAGCCTATCACCGCAACTACCTCTTGCATCGGTTCTGACTACACGCTGGCCGTGTCAGACATTACAGGACTTGAAATGGCACAGCAGTAAAAGGAAGAGAAAAAATTAAATAAAAAAACAGATATTTATTATACTTAAATTAAAACCATTTATTTTTTTCTTATATATATGAAGTTGTTAATAATTTGAAAACAATTTTGGCATTATTAATTCCTTGTTATAAATTATGCTATTTATTCAATTACGTAACTTTTTCCCCCTTTTTATTGAAACTGTGTCTCTATTATATATAACGTACTGTACTCAAATATATACTATATTATGTACAAAGTATGTGCAAATAGTGTTTTTGTTCAAAATTAATGTTGCCAATTCTATACTCAACACACATAAAAATCCAATGGTAAATAAATAAAGTCTTAACCTGTGATTATATAAAAAAGTACAAAATTGTTAAATTGGAAGTAGATTCCAAAAAAAGAAAAAGCATTTTAATGTAGGCCTAGGGTTTGGTACAGTACTGGGAAAGAAACAGAGAGAATGATTTGTGGATGAACAAAAATGCACGCAAAAAAGCATACTTACAATAAATCTTGATTGAGATAATTAACTGGCATTTTTAGCATATATGTACTGTTTTAAAAAAATTTAATAAAAAATTTAAAAGGACAGAAAAAATTCTCAAATAGAGCATCAACAAAAACCAAATTTAAGACATTTTAACATAAAAATATTGAAATATTATTTCATTTCAAATTAATTTCAATTCTTTTTAAATTGATATCGAAAGGATTAATTACAAAAATTCCATGGCATTTATAATACCTAATACTGAAAATGACCCCTACTATGTGTGCATTTCAAATTGAGGTTTTTATTAAAGATTAATTTAGTTGATAAATAAGGAGGCATGACCTTTTGAAGACTTAATTAATTCATTAGATGTAATTGTAATTCCATCTTTAAGAGTCTTCTTTTATTGATCTTCATTTAAGGTCAATTTTCTTGGTTATTAGACTAGCAAAGACCATAGACAGACAATTACTGAAAGGACGACAAGTCATGTTTATTGACCTAATAGGCAGTTTTCGAAGCACGACATTAACCTTAACGGATGACGCCATAATTTATTCATCTTGCGTTGCGGAGTACATTAATTTCAGGATTTTACGTGCTCGACGTACGTTAGTTACGGGTTTGCGCATGCGTATTTCATTTTGTTTACAAAAGGGGCGGAACTTTCGCGCTGCATGTTGGGTGCTAAAGTTAAAGTTAAGGTTAACGTCGCGCGGCGAATCTACCTAATGAAACCTCTTTTGGCAAGTAGCTAACATGTTGGGCAAATAGCAGAGCTATACGTTATGTTAATTGGATAATAACAATGATGCAATGTATGCAATAGCGGCACCAGTGAGGGACAGAAGGGATTAAGGCCCCCCCCACCCATCAAACAGGTCAAACTCTCCACCGGCCAGAGCTCATTGGGCAGTCGGACCCCCCAAAAAAAGAAAATATAAGCCAAGTCAACAAATGTCTGTCACAGTCTGAGGGTGTCATATCCGGCCATCCAGAGGTCCCTATTTTAAAGAAAAATCTTATTTCGGAGGGGGACACCTTTTCCAAAACCCACCCTCTGCTCAGGCCTATGAGCTCAAGCTCCCCCTGTCGGACAGTTAAGCCCCCCACCCCAGAAAATATATCCTACATCCGCCACTGAATGTATTTAGCAAGTATTACGTAAGTTACTTGGCTACTTGACTTGTTTGTTAGGCCGAGATTTAAAAAAAAATACCTTGTTCAGCTAACCTGCTGCCTGCCAATGATGATTTCTAACAAAACTAAAATTCTTTTTTTTGGTAAATTAGCACAGTCGCTGTCACAAAAAAAAAAAAAAGATATGTATATTTCTTCCTAATTATATAAATTTATAGCATTTACCTATTACATTCACCAATAAAATTTAATTTTTATTTTCACCTCCATCTGGATGTTTTTGGCAAAACTAAATGAAAAACCAGAATTTTATTTTTTTCCGCCCTCCACTGACGACCTTTAAAAAAAATAAGTTTGCGATACAAGGTATAAAAAGTCTTGCCTTAGGATGGTCATTATAAAATTGATCAACAACCAAATTCTGTGAACATCGATACATCAACCCTACTTAAAATCCGGTTCACTTGTAGTTTATGAGTTCACCTTTAAAACTTACAAATTGTCTTTGACTTGGGAAGAAGAAAATATATGCTAATCATTTCCAGGCTCAACAAGACTCGGCGTCACCAACAAAATACAAATGCTAACACTACTAAAATAAGACTTGGTTTCGTAAACCCATCTCTCACGGATAATAATAATGTATTTCAAATAAAAATTACAGTTTTATTTCTTGTCTGACATTCATCACTATGAAGAATTGAACAATTCAGAAAACAACAAAATGTTTTTAAATCCCCTGATAACATCAAAATAAAATAAAGAATTTACCTGTTCTATAAACTCAACAACGCATTTCTTGTACAATATTGCTATGCACTCGCAAGCAAGGGGATTTTTTTTTTTAGTTTTCACTCACACCTATCAAATGTTTTTAATTGTAAATACATTTTAATTATATTCTTCTTAATATAACTGCTTTTGTAGATCTTTAAAAATATACAGTTTGCTAAAAAAAATTTAATATACTGTAGTGGTAATGACAAATAAAATAGAAGAAAAATATCACTAAAATGAATCTTTAAACAGCAAAAATGATTATGCAAAATGTGGTGCCTAGTAATGAAGAATAAAACACATTGAAAAAATATAGAAAAAATATCACAAAAATGAATCTTTAAACAGCAAAAATGATTATGCTTCTTTCAAGTAATGAATACATTTTGAGGTTTTGATTTTGTAAGCTGAGATTGCTTACAGATATTATTATTCATCTTTAAAAGCACCATTAGAACAAGCTGTCAGAAATGACCTTTAAAGGGTAATTCTCAATTAAACTAAAAAAAAGCAGCAGTTGAACACAGATTTCATTCAATCTCATTACATACATTAGACACACAGGCTATGTTCTCACACGGCAGCTAACGGTTAGCAGGATCCGGATCCCACCGGATCAAGATACCAAGAATACGATGATCGAATCAATGGCCAATAAAAAACTGGAAATTGTAAACGCGTACGTGTGATTAGTTGATGATAGAAACGCGCTTACTTGCTAACCTATAGCACTTGCTCACCGATCTGGCGTTCTCACACAGGTGCTAACGGTTAGCTCCCGATCCGGATACAGGTCTCTCGTGAGAACCAGGCTTCAATGTTCACAAACATATACCTGCCAACTTTCCTGGCGTCCAATGCGCGAGACAAAAAAAAAAGGGATTAATTTGCATATAGCGCCCTCTATGTAGAAATCACAAAATAAAGCGCCCTCTAAACCGGGGCTGCAGAAAAGTGGTCTTTAATTAGAGGGAGACCTGTAGTCAAAACCTTTATAATCTGGGAGACAGAATGATCAGTTTTTAGGAAATATACATTGGTCATAAAGGAAATCAAAAATGCAAATAAAGATTTAGCTCTTGTCCGTAATGTGGCATCCTAGAAATATAGGAACATGTCTAAGAATTTTACTAAATTCAGGCGCAAGCTGTTGATGATGGATGATAGCACTATACAGACTATGCTTGAATTGTTCATTACACTTTGGTGTAAGAACAATTCAACCAACAGTTGCACCTAAGAGTCTTGAAATTGGGGGGAGGGGAACCTAGGTCGCGTGGGGATCAAAGATTATGTGAGGGGGGGGGGCGCTAGTTTGCAGAATAAGGGGATTTTTAACTATTTGAGCATGATTTTTTTGGGAGAAACTGGGAGGTACAAATATTATTTGGGGGGCGGGGGTGCACCCTCCACGCACCGCTAGATACGCCACTGTATATAAATGCTACCAGTATTTAAATTTTATACATTGATCTGAACATATATCTGATACATAAGCTTCACAGGAGCTCACAGACTCAGCATTCTGAAGAATGATTCAGCAACGTATTTGTAATTATCGTCAACAAGTTTTAGTATCTTGATGAAATGTAAATCTGGGAGCGTATGCTAATTATCATAATCAGCAAAAGAGTATAATAATGCATCACTCAGGTTTGTAATATATTAGAACTGCTGTATTTTTTTCATTGATATCATTTTAATATTAATTGCAATATGCGAGTGTTGTGGACAGACAACGAAACCGCCGATTTAATAGATCTGTGGGCCCAGTCTGAGCTACGGGATAAAATCAAGGACAAGAAGTGCAACAACAAAAACGGCGTTTACGAGTTGGTAAGCGAAAGGTTGGGGTACGAAAAAAGAACGGCGTCACAGGTTCAGAACAAAATAAAGGCACTGAGAGCCCAATAAAAAACAATAAAAGACAGCTGAAGAAAAAGTGGATCTGGATCTGATCAAAACCCAAGCAACCAGGTCAACCCACGTAGTGTGACCGTCCAACACTTTCAAGACTGGCGTGAAATCTCAATCGCGGTGAGTCAAGCCAGGCTCGAGGTTCTAGTGTGACCGTAGCCTAAAACCAGGGAACAGTGAAATTCACTGTTCCCTGCTAAAACTTAGTAACATACATAGGGCAAACCCCTTGATCTTGTTCCCCTCTTTCTTAACATGATCCTGTTAACAAATGATATAATTTGTGTTTACACTTATACAACTACGTACATTAATGAGTGCATTATATATCGATGTATAAATATCAATGTGTGCATTTCTAATTGAAAATGTGCATAAATTAAACAAAAGTGACAAAATATGATAATCTACCTAAATAATATTACCATGGTCGCTCATTGTAAAGCACACACCTGAATATAAAATTGGGTCAATAATAGAATGGGCTTACCTGAAAACCAGACTGTCAAATAATAATAATAGGATCTGGGTATAGCAAGTATTACATCGTGACCTAAAAGTTATAGGGTAGGTTTATTACACACAGGATGGGCTTACACTAGAGCAACTTTGGTAGAATTAACGACAAATTGTAGAACAAAATGAGTGTTGATGATAAACTAATAGTATGCCTATCTGCTAGGAGTTATTTAGTTAATCATTAACATTTCAACAAGTGTACAAACAGTGATGTGCAACAGTGGGAAGGGTGCCATCTGTAGTGCAACTAATAAGGTGTTATTAGATATTATCGCGGTTATAATTTATTCAACATTTCATGACACTTAAACTGGATAACTAAAAGTGGTTGGTATTATAAAAAATATACTGTTTATTTAGCCGGTAATATACCTATTCGTTCACAAAGCATTTTCCTGATGATTAGTGAGGCCGCACTCCAACAAATAGGCAAATTTGAGTTTTAGCCGGCAAAATAAACACTTTGATTATAAAAAGCCACTCTCTGCACTTGCAAATTTCTATCATTATGAATGACCACTAATCAATTAAACAAATTAATAATCAACAAGCTTATAAAAATTCAAGAGCAAAATTACAATAATGATGAATATTTTTACTCACTTAATTCTTTTCTTGAGGTAGGGTATGACACAAGCAAAGATGAAAAACAATCCACATAAAATGATCAACACTATCAGTAAAATAAAACCTTTTTTTTTCTTTCTTCCTTTCGGTGGTTCAGTTGTAAGAGAAATTGATTTTGGACGAGTTGGCAATGGTTTTGTAATAACTGTCGAAATAGGCTGCTGAACTAACTTGGTAATTACTGAAGAAAAATCTTTCGTTGTTGACTGCCGGAGAACTGGAGTTTGTGTGGATGAAGTGGAAGGTAGCAAACTTGTTTGAAGGAGTGTTTGTTTAGAAGAGTCTTTTGAGGAGGTAAAAGGTATCTCAGTATAATTACTTAAAGCAGTATCGACCTCTAATTCATTTAACAAAGTGGTGACAACTGGTTGTGTATTTGTATCTGTGCTTTCAGTATTTGCTACTACTCCCAGACACAAATGTTTCAGCAACAGTGCCAACAAGCAAACAAGCCATGGCTCCTTCATATTGTTGAGTCCTTACTACTGGGAGTTTCTCTCATCTATGTGGAATTTTTCTGCATTTGGTAGGATAAACGGTTGGAATATGTGGAGAACTTAATCACTGTCTTTGTCCTCATCCTGCAATAAGTTTCAGCTGAATAGGCTACAAATGTCAAAAAGATTGATTTTATTCATAATCAGAGTCATAAAAATGACAAAAAAACATGACCCTAATCACAAGGCCAGCGGCAGTTTGGCGCAGCGGTTCAGGTTTGGGCATTCAATCATAAGGTCGGTGTTTCGAGTCTCCGCTGTTAAGATATGCTTGTGTCCTTGGGCAAGGCACTTTAGCTACATTGCTTCAGTCCAACCAGCTGTATCAATGGGTACGAGCAAACTGCTGGGACTAACCTGCGACAGACTAGTGTCCCGTCCAGGGGAGTACAGCTCTCATCCGCTTCACACTACAGAAACTGGGGATAAGCTCTAGACTTTTGAGCCCCAGTGGCTTGGAAAGGATTTAGTTTAATCACAAGGAAAAGCCCAAAAAAAACTTATTTCCATTGGGGTTCTTGCAAACAGAGAAACATAATTTCACATTTTATCAAGACGACAGAAAAGCAGTTTTAAAAGGCATAAAAATGCAGTAAAACAAATGACAAAATGGCTGCAAGAAAAGAGATTAAAACATTGTTTATCACTCTAAAGCTAGCAATAAGTAAACCTCGAATAGAAGCCCTGGGCTTCTTTTTTAAGGCCCCTGGATGGGCTTCTTTGCGAGATGGGCTTCCTTTCGAGATTACTTTTGCAAACTAATGAGGGGGCTCTTTACAAAATGAATGCTGTAAGTATCTGGAATGGCCACTACGGCATATTCCATCTGTGGAATTAGAAATTCTGTTAAATATTTATTTTTGCTTTTAAACATGCTGGTACAATAAATTAATGTCGATACTGACACGCTATCATACTCATCAAAGATAACGACAGTGTGAATGTGTAACTACTAATTCGAAAAGAAGCCTATAAAATATTGAGCTTCTTTTCGAGATGGTGTTACAACTGATAATGTAAAAACGACGCATAATGTAAAAAATACCCGCATAATTGTGCCGTCATTTGTACATTATCAGTTGTTACAGATTGACTTCTTTTTGAGATTACATTTGCAAACAACTGAGGGGGCTTCTTTTCAATATATGGGCTTCTTCTCGAGAGATCACTTTGGGTTTCTATTCGAACGCTAAGAAGAGTAGGCCGTAGGATCAAGTTGAGGGAGTATGACAAAGTAATTGAGAAAGGAAGAAATGGCCTATCATATTTTTGTTGGGGCAGGCCTACCCAAGTGATATTTTAAAGTTTTGTTGAGTTTTTTTTTTTTTTTTTTTTTTTGCTTATTCACGCCGCAGGAAAAACCGTGTGAAATTCTAAGGAAATATAAAGTCAGTAGGCCTAATTTTGTCTCACAGCTTGGTTAGTATAGACAGAACGGCAATCGGAGATATTGGGTTCGAATCTGCGATACTAAGACCAACACTGACAGTACGTTTCAAAAGGGGGTTCTATGTTTTACAAACCGTCTAAAATATTGGATTGGATTAGATTTATTAGGTGTAAACCTGTCTCTTATACACATCTAGATGTGTATAAGAGACTACACACATTTAGAGAATATACATGTATATATATATGTGTCACTGTAAATCCATGTGTTCCTAAAATAAAAAAAAATATGACGAGGAGACCTGCAGACTCACTGGTTTCCCTTTTTTGAAAATAGTGTTCTATCTATTGTTATGCATTTACTGTGTAGGCCTATGTTACATTACAATATGGTTCGTTATGAGACGTCAATAGACGTTCGTTTTGGGTTTGATGCTATCTTCTTTTTTAAACCTGCTCCGTGGACTTAGCTGGTAACATCGCGTACAAAATGCATTAATAATGCCGCCTCCTACATATTCACATCCAAGCAAGGCAACTGACAGCTTGAGTACCACATGAACCAGGTTTGCCAGTGGATCAGAGATTCCTAAACTGAAAGCCGATGAAGTAGGCTACTCATACATTGTACAAAATAAAATATTGGTCGAAGTAAATCAATAGAAACATATCATTTTACCTGTAGTGGAATTTTAATCAAGACAAACCACAGATGAAGGAAGCCTAATTCATTTTGTTCAGAAAGGTACAGCCTGCTCTGCCTCTTTTCCCCGTCTTAACTTGATTCTTAATTTTCTCTCTTGTGTTAAACAAGTGCTTGAGCGCCTCCTATGGTTCAGCCTGATAACAAACCTGTTTAATTAATAATGATGATGAATTTTCACCTGCAATATGGTATGTCGCCCTCTATAACTAATTACGCAGTGAAAAGTTTAAGTGACGACAAAATGATGCTAATAATACTATAGCCTATTGTATTCAATTCAATTTATTAACGCTGCAAAAGCCATCAAGTGTTTTTATCCGTAGGCTACAATAAAATACACAAAACGGGAACTCTTATTAACATACAATCACCCCACACCGACTGAGCCGTCTATGGAGCCACTGTGTGTGCGCTGAACCGTGGAGATCCTTTGGTCCCCGGTTCAATTCCCATCGCTGGAGGACTGAAATTCAACTTACGATAGTGCACCATCTTTCGGATGAGACGTATATAGTTGGTGGTCGCATGTTAAAGAATGCAGTCTTTTCGGAAAAGAGTAGGGGATTCTCTGCCGGTGTACGTACTGCCCAATTCACCACCAGAAGGACCCCACTGGAAACAAATCTTCGGACTTAGTGGGTTTTCCTTGGTGTGATTCACACCAAAATACTCCTATCCTATCCTACCGCCCCCAACACCAACACCAACAAAAGAAATGATTTAAAACAAATTGTGAGAAGCTGGGGAAAGATTGAGGAGGTTAAAAAAGCAGGCCTATGATCTAAAGCTCTATACCATAAAAATTGTAGCCATGGTCTATAGAGATCATTGACCTGTTTTTGTAAAGCGGTCTCAATACCGTAAACCTCGAATAGAAGCCCTGGGCTTCTTTTTTAAGGCCCCTGGATGGGCTTCTTTGCGAGATGGGCTTCCTTTCGAGATTACTTTTGCAAACTAATGAGGGGGCTCTTTACAAAATGAATGCTGTAAGTATCTGGAATGGCCACTACGGCATATTCCATCTGTGGAATTAGAAATTCTGTTAAATATTTATTTTTGCTTTTAAACATGCTAGTACAATAAATGAATGTCGATACTGACACGCTATCATACTCATCAAAGATAACGACAGTGTGAATGTGTAACTACTAATTCGAAAAAAGCCTATAAAATATTGAGCTTCTTTTCGAGATGGTGTTACAACTGATAATGTAAAAACGACGCATAATGTAAAAAATACCCGCATAATTGTGCCGTCATTTGTATATTATCAGTTGTTACAGATTGACTTCTTTTTGAGATTACATTTGCAAACAACTGAGGGGGCTTCTTTTCAATATATGGGCTTCTTCTCGAGAGATCACTTTGGGTTTCTATTCGAACGCTAAGAAGAGTAGGCCGTAGGATCAAGTTGAGGGAGTATGACAAAGTAATTGAGAAAGGAAGAAATGGCCTATCATATTTTTGTTGGGGCAGGCCTACCCAAGTGATATTTTAAAGTTTTGTTGAGTTTTTTTTTTTTTTTTTTTTTTTTTTGTTTTTTTCCCCCCATTTATTAGGTGTAAACCTTCGTGATACTTGGGACCTCCTGTATGTTGCGTGTTCATGCTGTTCACTCTCTTCTCCACAAACACAAAGTGATGACAAAAAGTTTTTGAAGGGTTTTCAAATCTAACTGCCTATATAAAATAGGCCTATTACTCTTATTGGGACCACTTGTCGTTTGTGCTTCTATAATAAGCCTAACAACCATTTTAACACCTCGCATATTAACACATCTGACAGCCCTAACTCATTGGACAAGCATGACCACCTTGTCGTCGTACGCTATATGTAAGGTCGTTGGAAATCGTTTGATGGAATTAAAGTTTGGAACCAGGAAGAGAGGGAGTCGAAAGTGGAGCTATTGTGTCGAAGAAAGTTCGTTTGATAATATGCTCAGAATTTTGCAAGGCTAACTTTCTACAAGATAGGGCTCTATTCAATGACGGTTTGATTTTCCCGGGATTAAATACACCATCCAATTCGTGACTTTCATGACTTTTATGGATCCAATGACCAAGGGTTATAATAAAAAAAAAAAAAATTTGATTTGAGGGTGCACTGCGGATTTATTTAAGACATAATATTCAATATTGATTAAAATTAGACAGACACAATGCCAACGCCTTCCTTCTCTCGCAAAAAGCGCGGTATAAATCCCTATTTATCATTTCTAATATTAAAGGTAGTCTTGAATTAGAGGGCGCACTACGGATTTATTTAAGACATAATATTCAATATTGATTAAAATTAGACAGACACGATGCCAACGCCTTCCTTCTCTCGCAAAAGGCGCGGTATAAATCCCTATTTATCATTTCTAATATTAAAGGTAGTCTTGAATTAGAGGGCGCACTGCGGATTTATTTAAGACATAATATTCAATATTGATTAAAATTAGACAGACACAAAGTATATGTTCAATTTTCACGTATTTTATTAACAGTCCAGTTAAATGATTGATTTACAATAAATAATTTTTATATACTACTATCAAATACCTCAATACAAGACATTGCACAAACTATAGTTTAAGAACTAAAACTGTAGAGTTATGATATTATGTATATTAAATACTGAATATTTCTGACATCCCTTGCACCAGCCATAATAAATTAAATTTGTCATATAATCATAATTTCAGTTATGCATATTTATAAAAATATGTATAAACATAAATAGACATATTGTTAAAATCTGTGAGATGTTTCCTCAAAACCATCCCAAAATATTGTGGGAGGAATTTAACATTTTGAACCTGTACCAATACTAGCGTGGGGGGGGGGGTGTTTTGCCAATCCCTAATATTGTGGTCTAAAAGCACAATCTTTTGTCATCCAAAACCATAAAATCTCCCCCCATGATCCTCCACCAGACAAAAGCTCTAGGTGGCCCTTGATTAGGATCCCCTGCTAAAACTTATTAGAACCACGTGGGAAAATTTCTTGAGCAACTATTGTTTCATAACTGACAACTACAACTTTAATTATTGATTTTATTAAGTTTTTTGACTTCATAGTCCTGCTGGTTTTGTGGAAACAAGTCACATATGGTACAGTATATGCCCGTTAGCCTGATTGCGCAAAAAAAAATGTGCACGCAACCTGTTATATGTGATTTTATTTACTGTTGTTTTATTCTTAGTCACTTGTTGGTTCAGCACCCTTTCAAATACATATAAATAATAGGTGACAATATGCAACATATTTTTTGACAATGTATATATGAATATGAGCAAAATTAAAGAGCAGCATTAACATAAATAAAAATTGAATTAGGTACAGAAACATTGAGGTTTTTTTTTTCAAGGTGGAGTATTCAAGTACCCAATTTCAATTAGTATAGAAAGAAAGATAGCAAATATATAGCAGGAAACACATTACAGTATATGTGATTTAACAGCAAGAAAATAATAATACCTGTAATACACTTTAAATTAAAAATACAAAATAAAATTACACAAAAATATATTTAAGAATTAAGGGAATATTATATTAAACTAAGAAATATGTTGATAACAAGCAAATTGAAAGGGAGCTAACATCAGTTAAGAACATATTTTAACCGGCTTCAGCTGGTTTAAGCTGGATTTAATGATTAACTAGCTTCAGAAGACTGTTCTCACTAACACTAATTAGATCAATAATACCATCTATATTTAGTGCAACATATACCTAATCACACTATCATGAAATCCATAAATGTAATATAAATTTGTACAATTCAATTTATAAAAAATGCTGTTTATATATATTTTTTGCTAATTCAGAGGCTAGGAAAAACAGCCCAAGTCACCTAAATTTCAAAATGTCAGAAGAAAGACATGAAACTGGAGATAAATATAAGTTCAAAACAAACAAAAAATATCTAAAGGCACCACTTGCAGAAGAAAACTATTACTTTACACTAAGGCAGAGTATATAAAAAAACTTAAGGAGAAAAGTGGAAACAAAAGAAAAGAACTACGTGTCCAATCTCCAATCATATTCAACCTTAGCTCCTGAGTCCATTGCATACAATTCCACTGCAAAGAATACCTGCCTTCAATATATTTGGCAGCAGCCCATAATAATGGCAAAGCTGATCAGTATATAACTATCATTTCATATTTGATATCAAATGAATGTTTTTATAAGATCCAAAGACAATAATGTTTATGTAAATTAGTTTGATATAAACTAAACATTGTACATAAATTGGAAGTTGATTTTGTACATTTAGCACCTGGCCAAGCAAATTATCAATTAGGATTATAAACTCCAGTTCAATGAAACTTATAATATTATTGTTCTACCAAAGTAGCATAAATTATGGATATGATAATTACTCTATTTTGATCATTTATCAATTAATAATCATTATGTAACCAAAGCTGTCTCTTATACACATCTAGATGTGTATAAGAGACAGGATCGCACATCATGGCGATTTCATGTGCACCTTGAGCACTACTGCAGCAGTGGATATGTGCTGTCTCTTATACACATCTAGATGTGTATAAAAGAACCTCTGTAAAATATAAACTAGAAAAATGAAAGGATAAAATAATAATATAATATGAAAGAAAAATTAAAATTTGCATAATTCATTATTACAATTTAATTCCAAAAGAAATTGAAATTAACCAAAATCATTACAAAAATTGGCATTTTGTGGATCTCTCAAACTTTGGCTCTTTACTTGATGAAAATCCGAAGTTAGTCTCCAAATATGTAACCAGCTGACAAATCCCTACACTTGCCAATACAATTCAAAATTAAGTTTTTGGTATTTCCCAATTCTAATACTAATTTTTATTATTATTAAAGTGTTTAATTGATAAGCGTTAGTTAAGTAATATTTGCAAAATAAGTTATGAGTATTTAATTCATTGGATATCAGCCAAGTAGGTTTGAGAAACAGCTTTCAATGATTCTTAAGTTTAATATTAAGCTGTGTATATTCAAATTTAATTTAATATTTACAATAATTTAAAAAATATTTTTGATATATAATAAAGTTAAATATTAATAGTTGATGTTTTTCAACATTTCTTTCATACACCGTAGAAACGTGAAACTGGGTGAGTTGACATTTTGGCTTCTTAAGCGAAATTTCATATACTGTATTGACAAAAGCAGGGTTTTGTCAGAGTTTATCTTAGTTGTATCATCCAGCGAGTTAATGCAAAAAAGGCTAAATTTGAATACTGCCCTCTATATGCTGGGTTGCTAGCATTTGTGGATCCACTGTTGCCATATTTTTTCCATTACATTTCTACCACAAATTCCACTATGGAATGAAATTTATATGATAATTTAGTCAGATGTTTCAGATAAATACAAATTTATTTTCAGAAATCTATACATATTTAAATCTCTCATCTATAATTAAATTCTCAAACTACTACATTAAAAAGATTTTTTGTTAAACCTACTTTTAATATCTGGGAAAAAGAACATATTTTGATTATCTTAAGTAGATTAAGCTTATAAAAATAAGTCACCTTTATTTATTAATAATTTATTAATGTTCACAGTCTACAACCTTCAGCAAAGCTAAAAAACAAACATTTGGAAAACTGAAGAAAAGATTGATTAGAAATGAATATTTCATGCAAATTTATGCAAATTAATATTTATCATCTGCCTCATGACCTGCATAATGGCACGGTGATTTGACCTCATGCAGTTTATGCAAATTAAATATTTTAACCTCCCAAAATATTTGTACAAGGTACTCTTCTTTAAATAAATTAGCACACTATCTATAACATACATTGCAATAAAATGCAACTACCTTGTCAACAGGTACAGTATACTGAAGTTGTCTAGTAATATACTGGATACAAAATAGAAAAATCCATTCCACCATCTTGTTTAAAATATTCTGTTGTTTTTCAGATTGATTAGATCTTGGTTGTGGAAAGGGTTAACAATTCAATGATTGTATTTGTTTGCTCTATTGAAATTCTTGCACAACATGGCTTTGCATTCGACGCTGGTTTAAAATGATGCCATAATGTATGTTGATATTACATTTCAATCAGCTTTTGAAACAGGCATCTTAAAATCGACTATGGTAGCTTGCATACGTTTTCAGAGCATTCATGGATGCATACATGCTTAATAAGGCAAGGTTTTGTCAAATACTTTTCATTTTTTTCTTCATCAAAATCCACTTCAATAAATTTTTACTGCTGCTGAAACTTTCTGCAAATTGATGACAAACAGCAGATTAACTTCTTTGCAGACAGTCGGTGCTGGAACGCATCGATCATCTGAATCCTACTGACGCAATTAATCCTTCTAAGAATTATTAATTACTCCTCAAAAAGAATCCATCTTTTCAACTGATTGGACAATTGAAAGCAAAGAAAAAAGAGGATGGACAAAAATGGCGCAATTTTCTCACAGATTGGAATACATATGTGGAAATGTACGCATAAGAAAAAGCATAGAACCTATTTTTCTACAGGTGGCTAGCCATTATAATGTTGTTACATATTCAGTGTCTTGGTCTCGTCCATCATGAGAACTATCATCGGGGGAATCGGAATTCCGCCTTCTCCTTCTTGCTGATGATTTTGGAGATCGTTGCGTATAGTCTTTTAATTCATAGCCACCTAAATGGTCAAAATATGGCAGTTTTGTGTCCGTCTGTTTCTCTTTTAACAGTTTATGTGCTGCCTGATCTAATTCCTCCTGTGTCATGTCGCATGCTTCAGCAAGTTCTCGCTCAGCCACTTTAATTAAATCCCGGTCAACTATTCGACCAATTCCTTCTTGGCATAATACCTGAAATGAAATTTATTCAAATGTTACTACCACTGTTTATTTATGAAGTAAAATATTTTTAATAGATATTTTCCAACATTATGCAGAGAAACACTAGTGTGAAGTGATTGGTAAATTGATTGATTATAGAGGGGTCAATTTCACTTATTCAGGTTGAATAGTCATGTGTGTGATGGATTAAGTGGGCATCTCCCAATAATATTGACTATAAGCTCCTCCCACTCTCGCTGGCTGTTTTTATAAAGCATAAAATGAGTTTACTCATTAAAAAATGCAGTTTGTGCATGGAACAGATAAAATAAATAGCACGAACGCTAGAGCTAACAAGTTAGTCTGTAAAATGCTGAGATTTGTCATTTCTTATATTGTTCTATAGCAGACTAACGTAGCAACAAATGTTCCATAAGAAAATTCAATGTAAAATCAAGTTTCTCTTGATTAACTGATAGTACATATTGATTCATGGAAAATATTTTGTTTCAGAGTCACATAGACATGTGAGTAGACAGTGAGTATCAATCACTCAGCCATAATTTAATAAACTCATTCATAGTTTTGTCAAAATCAATAACAAATGTAATCAACTCTTCCAATGAGAAGACACAGAGTCTGCATGTAATCATGAATATTTCTTCAAGCCAATTACTGATACAAATTTTAGAAAAAGGCGTTGCTTGAATCTTGGGTGTGGCTTAAATTTTTCTCTAATTTAATAATGTGGCTTAAAATTAGGGGTGCGTAGCGTGAAATTTATGAGACTGAACTGAAATTCCAGGATATGAATTGAAAATACATTGTAATACTTGACATTAAAATGAAAATGAAATGGACATCTAAAATAGAGGGGCAGTGAATTGAAACTAAGATGGGAAATTTTTTTAATACCTTGTTTAGCAAACCCGCGGTCCGGCAATAGAAATGATTTTGAATTTAAAAAATGCGCACATGCCACCACGAAAAAAAAATTGAAATTTCAGAAAAAACTTAAGTTTTACCTTATTTTTATTACGCCCACCGCCGTCTTAAAATATGCAAAAAATAAAATATCCGTATTTCTTCCTAGTTAAATAAATTTATTACCATCCCATTACTACAATGTTTACATTCACCAATAAAATTTAAATTTTATTTTCTCCTCCGTCTGGATGTTTTTGGCAAAACTATTTGCTAAATAAGAAAACATAAATTTATTTATTTTTTTTTTTCGCCCTCTGAAGATCTTTAAAAAATACAATTTTGTGAAACAAGGAATAAAAAAAGTCTCGCCTAAGGGGAATAGTTTGGCATTAATTTGTGTGGCTTAGTATTAGATTCCAAATTAATGGTTTCAGTGGATATATTTTATTTGAAAGTAAACGTTATGGGAAAAATGTTATGAAAAATTGGAACAGAAGTAGTCAAGGCAAAACTAGTATAATTTGATTTCATAACTTTGTTGTAAATATTCTATTTCAAGAGATGCAGACACATATATGATGCACATTATCAATAGCAATCTGAATTTCAATACACAATAGGGAAAACCACAACAATTTATTGCATTCTAAACCATTTAATGAAAAGAATAAATTTGTTGATTTTTCATTTATATTATATCTATTGTTACCTTTAAATGAGACTGCATAAACACTTTAATACTAAAATATTTTGACTTTTTAAGTCAGTTTATACTTTTCTATTTATTCTACATTGCTCATGTGTGTTAGTGTATAATAATAATAATATGATGTGTTTCCTTTGATATTCGTTCAAAGTAGAAGATATAGTATCTGTCTACAATGTACAGTAAGTGTGTCATAGTACTTGTTGAGGAATTTTTGGAAGGCATGGTTATACAGTAGAAATAAGCTAACACACAATTAAACAGGTCTCAAACCTAGATTATTCTTTACTTGATACCTCATACATTGGTCAAATATTAGTTCTAAATGCAAACGTTACACTTAATACTCAATGTTAGTTTTTATCACACAATTGGCATTGTTATTGGACAGTTGTAATTCTTTCCTAAGACAGTGGGTTTTCTCACTTTTCTAATCAGTTTGCCAAATGAAATAAAATAAAATCATAATTACAATTAATATAATTAATAATAATCAATTAAAATAGCATGATCAATCATTTAATCAATCAATCAATATGTCAATGACTAATCAATCTATCAATTCTAAATCAACCAATTTTAAAGCAATTTATATATCAATCACTATATCAATCTATTATTTAATATAGTAATCAATTATTACATGTAGTCAGCAGTCTGTCCAGGAGATCTGTTGTAAAATTCTTGGCAGTAGTGTTAAATAGATTTCATAGAAATTAATAAAAAATATGCTAGTCATGAATATTCATGCATGTTAATTTATATTTCATACATATTAATAGTGTGGTGTATAAATTGGACACATCAATCCCTACATTAATCAATCATGCTGATGCAATTCCTTGATGTTGATAAAATGGATAAAAATTGCACCATGGATACTGAATGACTAATTAGCCTGAAATGTGCATCTACTATATGATGTCAAAGTTCACAAGATTACTAACCAGTCACATTTGCAATTTTATTACAAATGGTTCAATGTTCCTTTTATTCCTGTACTTGACAATAATGATAATAATAATAATTAGTTTAAAAGTCAATCTACATAGATGTATTTGTACTTCAGCACCTGCATATACAGTTTATATGTTATTTACAATGGTGTCTTCAAAAACAAAGTTCCTAAAACAAACAGCTATCATTTGTAATTTCAAAAAAAAAGAGAGGGAGCTCTTCAGAAAGGAGAAAGGAAATAAGAAAGAACAGCAGATGTGTGAAATAGGTAGAACCGTTTCTGTTGTGTACAAGTTTAATACTCGTTGCTAACCTTTGCTACTAGGCTCTCGGTACTACTTAAAATTGCCTCTGGTTTTGATGTTGATTTCCGTAGTAACGGCATGCGAGGCTTTGGTTTGGTCAATTCTTTGTAGAAAGCATCAGATGGGTCGAGGGCCATGTCCAAACAGCCAATGGAATGACGAAATTGCTGCTGTTTATTTTTACTAGGTTTGTTCCCATGTAATGTTGCACTACTCGGACGAGAATCTGGTAAAGAAACACGAATTCGGCCCGGAGATGATGGCGGTGTCCTCCAAACTCGGTAGCTAGTTTCGCTCCTTGGTCGCCCACCAGGTGACATTCCAGCTACAGCCATTGCCTAAATAAAGTGAAGTAAAGATTGCTTTAATAAACTACCATTATCAGCATTTTGATCACCCGAACCATTATCACCATGAACAAACCCACATAATTATCTTTATTATATTATCTATACATGGCTACATAGAGAGTGACGCTCACCCAAGTACGGCTCATGTAATATAATTTTATTTTTTTGGTTCTTAAACTATCATTATTTTTTTTATTTTGACTTCTATCGGAGACATGTCATGAGTGATTATCCTTAATCGGATACCGGCGCTTTACAAGTTTTCATTATTATTATGATTATTATTATTAAAATGTCATCCAACATTGCCATCTGTCACCGTCATCATCATTGTTGTCATCATCATTGTTGTTGTCATGGAGATTGGATACAGAATCAATTACGTGCTTTTGAAACCTTCTCCACACACTAGGGAGCATTAATAATGATAGCACTTATATTTCTAAACATGCAGGTAATGAAGCACCATCTCAATTCCATTCCAATTAATTCAAATCCAACAAAATAGCCATTGATACTCCCATATGAATGGCGGAAGGAGAAAAACATACATAAAGTTATTTAAATAACATTGCATTTTTTTTGCTAAAAGGAACTACTGACCTGAGTTTGTGCTAACTTAAGTGGCATTGCTGTCTTGCGTTGAGATGCTGGGGGATCCACTTTACCTGCACACCTTAACAGTCCACCTTTCTTAGAAGAGGAATCACTGTCAGTACTAAGGAGGCTTATGTTATCAGCAGGAAGACTGGAATTAGTTGGGGTATCCATCTGGTTTTCTCTGGAAAGAGAGCTGGGTGTTGAAGAACGAGCTCGTAGTAGTAGGGGAGAAGCCTCTGGTGAGGGCAAGGGAGAAGGTTCTGGGGAGGGGGATGCAGAATCCTGAGGTGATAGTAGAGGTGATGTTGCAGAAGGTGTTGCTGTGTCTGTTGAACTGTCAGCGTAAATACACGATGGTGATACACAAGGAGAAACTTCCTCCCTGAATGAAAAAAAAACATAATATAATTAAAACATTAAAATTTTATGTTTATGAAATATTTTGTTTTAATGCAGTAGACCTTCTATTTAAAGGACACCTTCAGAACCGAAAAAAGTGTCCCCTGAATATGGGGGTTAGCTGCAAAGGATAATATTTGTATTCAGATACATACTGTATACTATATGATTAAACATTCTTTGCTGTTTGGCAGGCAAAAATCCGATATTTCAGGTATGGAGCTACAAAATACTGTAAGCTTCAAGTCCAAAGTAGCAATTAAGCTAAAAGCTCAACGATTAGGTCTGATTAGTTCCTTAATTGAGTTTAATAACTAACATAACAAAAGTCAATTAATCATTTGAATAATACAGTATATAATTGGATTTTTATTGCTTGGGGTTAATGAGGCTTGAATTGTTTTAAGCAAGGGGTTATGCAAATTAGTGTCACTTTTGTACCACTAGCAAGCTTCAGGCTATCTAGAGGAAAGCTGAAAAGAGAAATCTATCATTTTCAGGGTTATTGATTTTCTAGGTTATGTAAACCCTTACAAAGAATGTCTGCACTAATGATCGGCTTGGATATATTATGTGTAACAAATTCAAAGGTAATCGAATCATAAGAAATGAAATTATCCAGAACCCTGTTGGAAAAATGGCTTATTTTTTGTGCATCAGTGATATACTGTATTTTAGCAATAGAAAATGGGTGAGCTTATACTTATTTACATTAAAGCAAGCAATATTTTAACCTATAAAAAATAATCAAAGGGTCTGCTTTATCATCAATTTACTTTACCCATATCTCAATAATACTTTTAAAAAAACCCCTAAATAAATAAGTCACATAAAAAATATCTGAAAAACACAATCACAACATTCTGCACAGTAATTTTTATGATTATAAAAATACTGTAAGAAGTTTGATTTATTAACCCGGCCACTCACTGTGTCACGATCATCGAACAAAGTATCAAACTTTGCTCTTTCTGAGCGCCACACAACTCAACACCGTCTATCGATTGTCGGTGGCAGTCTGAATGGAAAAACAATCAGTTGCGCACACGTCATGATGTCGCGCTCAACGGAATCGCATTAGCAAACGACCGTCGGGCTCAGTGAGTGAACGGCTTTAGCATCGCTACTAAAATACATCCTAGTACCACTTACAGTAATTCACTATTGAGTTTCTTCTTTAACTCACACTGTTTCTGCAATGATGACATATGTCGAATGGTTTTAGAATTATCTTTTTTAATAAACTTTTGAAACAATGTTCCCTTTGCACCTTGACCTCTGCGAGGTGTAGTATGTAAAGTTCCAGTTGATGTGTAATTAAATATGTCCCGTACATTTTCAATTGATTTTGGATTTTCATCAAACTTCTTTCCCGTACTTGGTACATCTTCGTCTTCAATTAACTGTCCTACGGGCCATGTGCAACTATGTGGCAGGTCCACCAACATCCGTTTTTCTACATACTTATTCCGGTTGTATGTTCTCCCAAGTTTTGGAATCCCAGTCCATTTTGGTTTAAGACTGTCCATCAAAAGCATATCATCATCTTCTTTGAAGTGTAAAGACCTAGAGATGTCTTCATCTTCTGAATTTATGTCTTGTGTTAATCCTGAATCATTCTCCCCAACATCTTCAACAGAGTTGCTTCTAAACCCATTTGGTTGCGACTGCTGGATGCAGTTTTGACAAATTTTTCCAGGAACGTGTATCACTTTGTACCTTGGATGATTAAGATCTGAAGATGCTGTATATACCAAGCCTTGAACTTCCATGCATTTAAACTGCACAAGAATTGGCGGTGGGTCAATTGTTGCAGTAAGCATTCTGGATGCCCGCTTCAACTCACTCACACTCAGGTCAAAACCTAGATATTTCTCTATAAACCTGACCACAAGCTCTTGGGTGTCTTCGATATCATTGTCGCTGTCCTGACGTTCAAGCCCAACAAACACGAGCGTCTCCTCAGACATCATCCACAGCCACTGCTCGAGATGGTGCTCTAATTCTAAGCAGCGCCCTCGCATCTCACGTTCTGTTCGGGAAACAGTCATTCGAAGGAACTCTACTTCTTTCTCCAAGAACACAACTGATTTGGTGAAGTTTTGCAAGGCATTCCTAAGCTCATTAACAAGTATACCATCTGGAAATTCATCCATCATAAAAAAAAAAATCACTTGTTGACCTCTAATACACACAACACCCAAAGATATGTTCCAATTCCAAATGATGCAAAAACATATGAAAAGCAAAAGATTTCAACGTCAATATATTACTTTCAACAAAGAAACATTAGCATATATAACTCCAGTTTATTCGCACAAACACAGTAAAAATATTATTGAAACGGATTCATTTCAATCTATTATCTTATTAACAGCAGCTAAAAAAGTAGCCATTCTTCTGTGGCATGAATCGTCTACAGTGCTTTCGTTGATTTCCA